CATGTGCTTTCTTTCACCTTCTGCCATTAAACTATACTGAATTACCATCTTGTGTCAAAAAATTTCTTGAAGTGCTGAGGTTTATTATTAACAGACTTTTCATTTCAGTTTCTTGATTTATTTGCCAACTTACCTTGCACAAAACTCAACAAATACTTGCAATCATAGTAGAAATTAGCCCATTTTGCAGAATCCTGGCCAGTGAAGTATATTTTAAATTTTTGCACATTTGTTGAAAAGAGTATTATTTTGTTGAACGTTTTTGCTTTTATAATTACTAGTGACATTCTTGCATCTTTAGTGAGTAAAGATTCAAGTGTAAAAACAAAATGTTAAATGGTGCTTTTAAAAGACCTCTTTAGATGAATATAGCCCTTTTTAATTACCAGTCATTGAGTACAATTTAATTGTATTTACTGTATAAAGCAGGCAGTTAATAGCCAAATCTTTTCATCTTCCAATATGTTGGGGGTTTTTTGAACCTCTAAAGATATTTCATTCTAATCATTATAGTTCAGAGTTTTTTCTTTATTTTTAAAATTGTTTGGTTTAAATGTATAATGTTCCTGCAATTTATTTTACTGTTGAATTTCTCTTACAGTCTAGAAAGTCATCTCAGTAATAGTCAGCATTCTCACCTGCCTCCATCTGAAATGTCACTCTGTGTGTGTGTGTGTGTGTGTGTGTGTGTGTGTGTGTGTGTATTTGATGCATATGTCTACATACACACACAGACCTGTGAGTGCACTTACACAAGCAAGTTTTGCTCTGGATAATTTATCTGCTTTTATAGACTCAGGTGTTCTTGCACCGGCCCCCAATTTAAGCCACAGCACTTTGCTAGATTTAATACTACTTGTCTCATTTGACCTCACTGGGCAAATCAACCATCCATTCTATGGCTGCCTAAGCCAAACGCCCTGCCACAGAGTAAGCAGATCACCTTATACATTAGCAACCAGAAAGAAATGGCGACATGGGAGGGCCCCAGTAATAACCCAGAATGTATAAAGAAGCCCTGAACCTGAAAGGAGTCAAGTGAATTCCTGTTTGGTTTTTTTCAATCTAGTTATGGGGGTGCACAGCCCACCATCCCATGCAGGAGTCCAACTGGCAGCCTTGTTGTTAAGAGCATGCGCCCTAACCAACTGAGCCATCTGGCCGCCCAAATTCCTGTTTCTTAATAATTTCATTCTGCCATCCCCAGTATTCCTGCAGACACATCATACTTTTTCATGATAACCAAGATTTACTGGGCTCCAT